AACGATATACATAACATGTACGACCAAACTTTGCAGCCATAGCTGGCAGCATGAGTCACTCCATAACAGCATCAGTATCAGTAGGAGTATCAACATTTTTCAATGCACCTTTGAAGATCAGCACACTATTATCAAAACTCAAGATCATACTTTGCAGCAGTCATCCGGAGCGATACATTTGATTTTAGGCCACTGAATAGCAGTGGCAGCTAGGGGTGTATACCTCTTCTAGAGCAGTTTTAAGTGAAGATCTCACAGGTAGTGATCCAAGTTGCAGTTTATTGGCGAAAGCATTCCAGACCCTGGGGGCATCAATAGCAAAGGCCCTTCCTCCAGTATTTGTACGGCAATAAGGAATGTGAACCTGGTTCGAAACAGTGAGGAGATCCAGCAGGTAATCTGCTGATTTATTTGTAAGTACATCGTGAATAAATAAGATCTGATGCACACGCCGTTGATCATTAAGAGAAGTTAAGTTTGACCCAATATAGAGATCGCAGTGGTGGGTCCTATACGGGAAGTTCAATGCAAATCTTAAGTCCGAGTGATACATTGAGTCAAGATTCTTCAGTACATTCAGTTTTGAATCAATGATGACCACAAGATACTTATAGATCTTGACTTGTTCTATTTAAAAATTCTTAAGGAATGTAATGGGAGAAAAATAACGTCCTGCTTATTCCTGGTGAGAAGCATAGTACCTTGGTTTTGGAGGTATTCAGGACTAGTTTAAGAGCAACTAGCTAATATTGTCGTTTGTTGAAATCACCCTAGAGCTTAGCAATCACGTCATCTGGAGAGCGGCCAGCAGTAATCAGTATCGTGTCATCTGCAAAAAAATTTACCCTGGAATGATCCAGGTCAGTCAGTGCCCAAGTCATTGACATAAAGCGAGAACAAGAGGTCGCCGAGGATGGAACCCTGTGGAACCCCTGCTGTTATCTTAACAATGTTTGACCTTACTCTTTTTGACCTCCAATCATCTATTAATACAGTTTGGGTGTGAGAAGAGAGGTAATTGTTTAACCATTCCACTGCGTGTTTGGAGAGACGGAGGCAACTTAGTTTACTAAGCAGGGTGTTGTGGTCGACTGTATCAAAGGCTTTGGACAAGTCAAGAAAAAGACTGGCGCAGTACTGCTTATTATCAAGGCTATTGTAAATGTGATTCAGAGTCTAATGCAGCAGATGTGGTGCTGTATTTTTTTCGGAACCCAGATTGGTTTCGATGTAAGAGATTGTTGTCGGACAGGAAACTGCTAATTTGGTAGTTCATTTTTTTTTTTATTCATCAACGCGGACAAAATTGAGAAAGGTCGGTAGTTATTTGGATCATATTTAGGGCCCGCTTTGTGAAGTGGACGAACATAGGAATGTTTCCATTCTAGAGGTACTGACGCTTCTTTGATGGACAGGTTGAAAATATGGGCGAGAGTTTTGTAAATTAGGTGACCAACAGTTAGCAGAGCAAAGACGGGAATGCTCTCTGCTCTGGTAGAGGAGGACCCTTTGAGGTAGGAAAGTTGTATCAGAACATTACTTTCATGGATAGGCTGGAAACTAAATTCGTTTAATGTTTGGACAGGTGTGTAGGAAATTGCATGAGCAGGGGTGACTCCCAATAAATTATTTAAAAAGGTCACCAGCTTAAGAAAAATGAAGGTTAAAATTGTCGACTACTTTTTGGGTCTCTGAAAAATAGTTCCCATTTCGGTTAAGCTCAACAAAAAGATTATCTGTGTTAGGTGCCCTTTCGATACATTTGACTGTTTTCCAGAAGATCCTGGCATTGCCATGTGATTCCCGGAGAGTGGAGGACAAGTAAGCATTTTTTACATGCCGTATTTTTTTGACACATCTATTCCTTAAAATTCGCTATTCTAGCCAGTCTTTGACCAAATTACTTCTCTGAGCATATGCCCAAGCCTTGTCCTTAGTTTTCATGAGCTTAGTAATCAAAGGATCAAACCATGGTGGGCAGTTGCCTTTAATTTTAAATCTAACCGACGGAGCATGTTTGTTGAGAATTTGGAGAAACGTGTACCTGAAGGTCTCCCAAGCCGTAGTCAGGTTGGGGATATCACAGACCTCGTCAATATCCGAGTGAAGCACATCATTAGTAAATGCCTGTATGCTGAAGTGTCTGATGGAGTGCTTATCAACCAATTTAGGGGGAGCTTTGGGTTTGGCTAACGATCTCACCCCAAATATGAAGGAGTCATCACTAAGGTTATAACCCAGAACACCAGTAAGTGGGAAGTTGTGAGAGGCATTAGTCAATAGGACACCAAGCAGAGATGACTGTCCCGGATTTTTTAGGTTGGGTCTTGTGAGGACATTTATTAATTGTAATAGGTTAAATTCATCTGCAAAATATGTGGCCACGGCTGGCGGGTTTAGCCAATTCCAATTCCGATCACCCATTAAAATAATTTCACCTTTAAGGAGGCCCCCAAAAAGCTCCCTCAGTGCGTTCCCAGCTTCAACATCCTTACCACTAGGTGGTCTATAGCAGCACACTACCAATATCTGTAGATTTTTAAGGAGAGTGATATTTTTTTAAACAAGGAATGAGCTGGTGAACATGCAATAGCACTAAGAACATATATGGCAATTCCACCTCCTTTAGACCCTTGGTCAAGTCGAAAAAGGTTGTAGTTGTCAATCGTAATCTACAAGTCATTGACGGCCGGAGTGAGAAATGTTTCTGTAAGGCAGAAAATGTCCAGGTCCAGATTTGCCACTTTTAGTTTTAGGTGACTTAATTTAATCACAAGCCTTCTGATGTTGACGTCTAGAATACCAACACATTTTCTGCCAGAAAAATCTTTGTAATTAAATGAGTTTTTTACATTTGGGCCAGGGTGAAGCTCAATACCTCCCAGAAATAAGAAAAGTAGAGTTAATAGTTTGTACAAATATTTTCTGTGAAAGGATGAAGTGCGGCGAACCTTGGACGAATAGCAGCAGCTTGCAGATGGTGACATTTTAAAAAGCAAAATGAAGTTAGGAAGGAGTGCTGGTGAAGTAATAGGACAGAGATAGGGTTTAAAAGGATACAATGATGGAGTGTAGAAGTGTCTATAAGCTGTTTCACTAGCAGGTGTAATGGCAAATAGAGCATCAAGTATGGACGAGAAATAACGACGGCTGCCAGTGGTGGAGTTTAGTTTGGTACTAGATATGGCCAGGAAGGGACAGCAGTAGGATACACAGCAGAACTGCCATCTTTAAAATAACAAACGTCCACAACAGTTAAACACACAAGTGAAAACGTACAGGTAGGCCGAGCACGAGAAATGTATTACCATACTTGTCGCACATGTACTGCTTCTCGTCCATGTGCTTGACAGTTTGTGGTGGCGGTCAGCTCCAGGTCACGAAATTGAAAAGTCGTTCAAGTTATTGCTGTTTGTAAGCACACCTTTGTGCGTTGCTATTTCTCTCCGCTAGTGTGGATGTGACCTAACACTTCACTTTTTTTTCTCTCAAGGAGAATATTCGCGAACAGGGCAATAACCTGATCAAGCAGGTGAAGGGTAAAAACCTCAAGGAGCGGGTCAAGACGGTCGAGGGCTTCCTGCAGAAGCTTCGGCTCCTTGCTGACGAGGAGCGTTTCTGAACAAACCAGGGAGCAGCAGTTAAGGCAGGCTAGGGAGTAGCAGCTCAGGCAGATCCAGGGAGCAGCAGCTTAGGTAGACGCAGGGAGCAGCAGCTTAGGCAGGCCCAGGGAGTAGCAGCTCAAGCAGGCCCGAGGAGCAGCAGCTCAGGCAGACCCGGGGAGCAGCAGCTCAGGCTGACCCGAGGAGCAGCAGCTCAAGTAGACCCAGGGAGCAGCACCTCAGACGTATACTGCGTTATGGCATTACTATTCGCATGAATGACGCTCTATAAAAAATACTGCATGTGATAGCCACAGATCTTATGAGCTGTTATTGAAGAGTCATAATGTCTTGTTCCTTCATATCCAAGTTGAGTGTAATCATGTTACCTTGTTGGTTTACCCCACGAAGGCCGACAGCATATTATGTGCTATACGCCAAGAGTATGAATCCTTGCAGTCACGAAAGCTTCAAATCTAGAACACAGTGATTTGAGGAAGATCTCGTCAGGCTTTCTAGAGCTTCTTCTCGTGGCGGCATGAGCCGCCAGTTGCAGGAGTGCACCTTAACCTCTGCAACATTCATGAACAGCTAGGACCAAGATAACATGACAGATAATTAATCCTCAAATTACATTGAACAAAATTACTTATAGATTAAGGGGTGACATAATCTGCAATTTATGGATCTCGGTAAAATTGGTAAGTTATTAAACACCTTCGGTGAGTAAACAAATGAAAGTTTTAACATTTAGGCCTACTAATCTGGTACTAGGCGAAGCCTGTGGTAAGATAATTGATCCTCAATTTAGTTTAAAAAATACTTATAGATTAAGAGGTGACTGATAATTTCCCATCGAAGGACCTCTGCAAAAAATTTCACACTTCAGCAAAAAAATATTCTTGCTGTGGTTTTCCCACCTGATGATGATTACCTGTGTTGCAATTGAAACGTAGTGATTTAATTTATTTTATACCTACGTGACTTTACCGAAAAAAACAAAGAGCGTGTATAGATTGCTAACATGTGCCCCCCCATACCCAACTCAATAATAAACTGCTAATTCAGAATCATCATCTGTATTTATACTGGAGGAATCCGATTATCTATGAAGCTCGTTTCACATATGTCCAGCAGGGCGGATCATAACGTTACAAAACAAATACTAAAACACAACAAGAGCACAAAGTATAGGAAAGGCAAACAAATCACTTAAAAATACAAATAAAACTAAATTATTTGGTATATTACCAGGTAAAGCCAACTGAGCTATTAACTTATTTTCCAGAAGCCACCTGGCACTGTTGCAGAAGAAATTTAAAATTCATGCATACGTCCTTATATACAACACATACCGTCAACAAACGCACGCGTTGTTCCGTCAAATCTCACCAACAGATAACCGGGAAATCTGCACAGCGATGGTGCGAGACAAGAACCTGATATCGCGTCTCCGGGACTCCCAGTTCCATGTGCTCTTGTCCGACCCATTCGCCATGTGCGGCGATGTACTGGCGCTCATGCTGGGCATTCCCTACGTCTACTCGCTACGCTTCACTCCGGGCTACATGGCCGAGCGCCTCTGTGGAGCAATGCCCGCACCTCCGTCCTACGTGCCCGTGCCCATGTTCTCTCTGACGGACGAAATGAACTTTTGGCAGCGTGTGCAGAACTTTTTGCTGTACAGGATTTTTGAAATGATCGCGATGCACATGGGGCAGGAGTCGAACAACATCTACAGTGAGATTCTTGGTAAGTCTCTGAACGTGTGTATGTTGTTGTTTATTGTTGATCGGGAGTGGTAGGGTTAGCAGTCAGCACACTGTGCTGCGAACCTGGTGACCCGAGTTCAATTCCCACTCATGGCCAACACCAGTGACGATTATATTATCTGAACCAGTCCTGGGCCTCCCCTAGGTATACTCATCCTCAAATGAGTACCTGGTGCAGTGTGTAAGCATCACCACTTAGGGAGACAGAAGCGGTCCGGCGTGGTGCTGGCCACCTGCCCCCTCGTGTGACGTGTCGCCATTCATAGGTGCTACTTGCTAACACCACTTGCCCCAATAGTCTGTTAAGGCTACGTGGGATTTTTGTCTTTGTTCATTGTTGGTTCCAGAGTCGTTCATTTATGTGTGCATGCATATGTAGTGTCATGTGTTTCTTCTTCCTTCTCACTCGAGGCTTGTGTGTTCGTGTGGGTGGCATGCGTCGCACACACTCAGTCGGAGATGAGGTAGTCGCAGTAGGCAATGTCCTCCCCTTTTATTGTTGTTGAGTTCACGCCACCACTCGGGCCCCCTCTCTCTCACGACCACACTGCCGCATGCCCCATCCCAGACACAACCCTGTCTAGATTGCACCGGTGGCATCGACCGGGACAGCCAACTATTGTCTGGCCACGCAATGATCGGGCAAAGGCAGCAGTGATGAGGGCGGCGACAACGACAGCGACGACAAGACGAGTCCAATCCCAGAACTAGCAGCCCGGAGCTTTCGTTCTCCGCTGCATATATCCCCCTCGGTGTGGTTTGGCTCCGCCCTAGCCATGCCTACCTTCTCAAACCAGGGATTCCCCACGAAGTTAACCGTCACCCTTGCCCTAGTTTTCCGCCCTGCCAGCACACCCGTGTATATGCTCAACGGCGTGTAAGCTCAGTGCCACCTGCAGTTGCAGCTACTGTACAACAGTCGGCGCTATGTCACTACACATGTGTAGTGGCATAGCGCTGGCTGCTGGCAGAAAAGGGAATCTGTGGCTTACGGTAGTCCTGACATAAGCAGGCCAGGATATACACGAGAGGGAGATCTAGGGGAAAGGTCACAGAAGGGGCCCACCAGGTCCCCGCTAGTAGGTTCCAGAAAGGGGGGTGGCCGGGGTGGAGCTAGGCCACGCTGTTGCTGAAGTCCATCGTCGCCATTCTTCTTGTCATCTTCATCATTCTTCTTGATATCTTCACCATTCTTCTCATCGTCGTCTCCGTCTCTACCATCTCGGGGCGCCACTAGTAAGACAGCCTACCAACTGTTATAGCTAACATAACAGGTTTTTTGGGTTAGATCGCGTAAATAGATAAATGCATTATGCGAGCCTTTTGAATGTTGTCCTTCCGGTCTATTGTGTGTATTAAAATACCCGTGCCAATGGTAATCCCTTTTGAAGTATGATGCCCTATTTAGTCATGCATTTAAATAATGTATTATTTGATACTTTGCTTCCACGCAGCACGAAGACGGTAGCTATTCGAATGGTTAAACTAATTTTTATTTGAAGCTTTTGTGACATGCAGGAATCCATACTCTTTGGTTCTTTCGGTAAAGTCACGTAGGACGATTGCTTGTGTGGTGATCGAAACGTCGTGATCTATTATTTTTTCTACGTACGTTACTTTACCGAAAGAACCAAAGAGTGTTTTTCATTTTATTTCTATTTCAATAGATTATCTAGTTAGTTTTGGCCAGTAGTAGCTAGTTTTGCACGTAACTTCAACATTATCAAATTAAATTGAGTGCCCTTGTTGGCACGCATGTTCCTCTACTGCTGACAGTTGTATTTGGGAGAATTTAATATTTCTCTGTTCTTTTAGTATCGTGCTGATCAATCGTCCTTTTTGCCCAACATAACATTTCCCACATGTACAGTTAATCCTGTACACACCTTCTGTTGATAGCTTCGGTAATGCATTTTGTATTAGATAATAATTCTGTATTTTTATGTACCGTGCCAAATCTGACTCGGATATTTTGTTTTTCCAAACATCTGGCTAGTTTATCAGTTACTCCCGCAATGTACGATATTTTGATCGTTTTCATTGCTTGGGCAGTTTCAATGCTCATGTTATTTGATTTGGTTTTGGCATTCAATGCCTTGTTTATTTGTGCATCACTGTAACTGGTCATTTGCAGCGCTTCTTTAGAATGTTGAATTTCACTTCTCAGACTGTCACCCTTTGACACTTTCTTAGCTCGATGATAAGAGCAGATTTTTGTGAGGGGTGATGGTGTGAATCTGCATTCAGATAGGCGTCAGTATGCGTTTTCTTTCGGTAAACACTGTGTGTTATTTTACCATTTCGACCTCGTCCGAGCAGAATATCCAGAAATAGTAGAGTTTTGTCAGCTTCCACTTCCATGGTGAACTGGATGGATGGGTTTTACGAGTTAAGATAATTTAGAAATGCGTTCAGTGTATCTTTGCCGTGTGGCCAGACCACCAATGTGTCATCCATAAAACAAGCAGAGGGTTTTAGTGTGCTTGAAGCTATTGTTTTTGTTTCAAAATCTTCCATGTACAAATTCGCTATCACAGGAGACAAAGGAAAGCTCATTACTGCTCCTTCCTTTTGTTTATAGAAGTCACCTTTCCACAAGAAGTAGGTGTTCTTTAGAGAGTATTCAGCTAGTCTTGGGATAGCTTTGACTAAACCGTTGGTCGTTACCAGAGTTTCAAGTAATTTGACTCGTTGACTGGAACCCTCATGAACAGAGAAGTCACATCAACACTTACGAGAATATCATTAGGGTTAAACTTAATATATTTCATTATATTTAAGAGATGTTCATCGATTTTGATGAACGAAGAAGTCCAACCAATGTAGGTGCTGTATTTGTTTCGTTATGTATTGTGCTAATTTGTACATGGCAGAGCCTATTGTACTAACTATGGGTCTTAATGGGACGTCAGGTTAGTGAATTTTTGGTAGCCCATGAAGTCTTGGTGGTTTTGATGCCCTTGGTTTTATCAGTTGGGAATTGATGACTTGGGAATGATAGCCGTTGTTTTACGTTCCAAGGTGCTGGTTGGGTCTCGTTTCATTTTAAGGTAGGTACCTTTATCGAGTAAATCTTTGATTTTATTTTCATAGTCCTTACGGGGCATCACAACAGTTGATCGGTTCTCCAACACACCGGTGTGCTGTACTAGTGATGAATTGGCATGTTCTGTTTACGTGACAACCCTTACTGGTTTGCTGTGTCGGGTAGTGGCGGGTTTAAACGACACATTTATATATTAACGCGATCTAACCCAAAAAAACCTCTTATGGATAATATTGGTTGTGAAAGCCTACGTGTTAAACTGTTATAACTATGTAGTGATAATAGACGGACTAAATATTAAGTGTGTTAATCCCGATGGTGCTCGCTAAATAAAGAAGTGCCTCCAAGTCTTATCGTCTCCGAGTTAGTCACTACACATGTGTTCACATATGTCCATGCGCATCGCTATGTGTGTGCGTAAGTGCATTATGGGGAGTGGTAGTGTAGCAGTTAATGTGATGTGCTTTGATCTCCGGCAAATGGTTTTTACAGCTCCACGTGTTCTCTCACAGGAGAAGGGACTACACTATGTCAAGTGATGAGCGGTGCCGAGTTATGGCTCATCCGGACCAACTGGGACCTCGAATTTCCACGTCCGTTCCCTCCCAACTTTATCTTTGTCGGGGGGCTCCACTGCAAGCCCGCAAAACCATTACCTGAGGTAAAAAAAATCACTAGATTATACACTATTACAGTCTGTTCTCCCATAATACGTGTTTTTATAACATGAACTGAATACAACGCAATGAATGTATGAAGGGACACTTTTTTTAACGCAGATGCGAATTGGAAACAATGCAATTGAGTGAACAGAACTACGTCGCACGAGTTGGAAAAAGCGGTCATATGGCTGCCTCAGTAATAGCATCATCACAAAAAGCGGGACACTGCTGGATGCCTCTATATGTTACCTACGAGCCTCAGTCTTAGTTCAGCCTGCATATGCATCTCACGTGGTATCGCGGACTGTGCTTTACCCCATGTTATGTATTGTACCGCGATCTTTTCCATAACGCGGCGTTCTTCTGGAATGCAACTACTACCGCGTTATAGGAGAACAGACTGGACTCGGAAGCTGCTACTACAATCCGTGTCTCGTGAAGAACATGTTTGGGTTTCCCTCTTTAACAATTGTCACTGTACGTTTTCTCTCTGTGTGCGTTACCAGGACTTTGAAGAGTTTGCCCAAAGCTCGGGTGAGCACGGCCTCATTGTGTTCTCGCTGGGCTCCATGATCAAATACATGCCTATTGAGAGGGCTGAAGTGATCGCCTCTGCACTGGCTCAGCTCCCACAGAAGGTACAGAAATTCCTCGCCAACCACGGGTGTTAGGTTCCTGGAAAAGGCCGCGGTAGGTAAATCCGCAGTTGGTAAAGTACAGGGGGCCTATGGGAAATACGGAGTTAGGGGAACCTGTGAAGGCCGAGGTCTACCCCACCACCTTCGATGGGCAGGTGGGGCGCGACGTCCGCCTCCTCCACTCCCTCCTCCACCATGTCGATCGGCTCCCGCCGGGCCCCCGCCGACTGGGTGATCACCCCCCTCGTGCTGGCACTCTTTCTGAGGGACATGGCTGCAGCGCTGGCTCACCGCCACACGGGGTTACTCCGCACACGCTCACGTACATCACCACTAATACGAAGGCCGTTGTGTGAATATGCGCGCGCGCGCGCGCCTTGGGGTGGTTAAACCCTAATCCGCTTGCACACAAAGTCTAATGCCAAAGGGCTGCTCGAATTTGCGCACGCGCCTCAGGGTGGTTAATGCTATTGTTGTCACGTGAACACGCACGAGCATCGGCGAGCAGGTTTAGCGCGCCCCGCCCTGATACTCGCGCGACTCAGCTGCACGGACGCGCGAGCATCGGCGGCCGTTTATGTTTAACTCCATGCGCGCCTCACACACACAACTCAAATTACCAACACCACGCCGAGGTTCCACCCACACACACACATATCACATTGCACCGATACTCTGGACTAAAGTTTATTAACGGCGCGTCTAAAGAAACACCGTGTGTGGCCCGAAGCAAATATTCTACCAGCAGCACCTAACCTATTACTATCCAATCCCTTAGGTGTTCCCCCACTTTATTACTCACCTCACAGATGCACTCACGGTGTCGCACGGATGCTGTGCGAGTCGGAGGGTCGACGATCAGAGACGACTCTGTCTAGGATTGACTCGTAGCGGCACCTGCTGGTGGCGTCTCACGGATGCTGCGAGTGGCTGGGAGTCGGTCCGGATGGTTGAATGGCTGGAGAAGTCTCTAACCATTCTTCACTCCCTCCTATTATGCCCTGGGATTCCGAAAATTTAGGGTATATGACGTCATCCTGCGCAGCCAATCGTGCGCCTAACTTTCGATTTTCGAACGTCTCGCGGCCGTTACCTAGGGCATTATGTCACGCTATCCCCCCCACCGTCCATTGTTTCCGCGCACGCATTACTCACCCCTGACTCAGCCGGTAAACCCTGAGTGGCCGCCCGGCTCAATACACACCCGCGGTGTCCACAGGGATTTCCCTCCCCCTTTGAGGGGGGCCGCAATGTAATTTGGCCTGGGGGGATTGGCCAATCTCCTGGCACCAGGAAACTGTGGGACATCCATGCTAGGGGCCTTTCAGATGAAAACCCATGATGTCAGGCGATCCCCCACCGGGACCCTACACGTGTGCATGTGTGCGGCGTGTGTATGTGTAGTAAGTTGCAAGAAGCTTGGACGACGGGGTCGGAGGCACACTTATTTATTAATACCAACTTGTGTACAGTAACGGGTACACACAGCACTTGAAGGGGTATCGTCCCCTTCACTCGTCTAACAGGGAGACACACCGTCTAACCCCGCTAACCTACGCCCGAGTCCTCCACTACAGAGCTAGGGGAGGCTACCTATCCCAGCCCTGCTCAAGCTGGGATCCCGGCACCCTGAGTCTCCAGACCGGCTCTTATAAGAACGTCAGTCTGGGCTCTCGGGGCCACGCCACCGGCTTGCCCTGGTCAGCCCTGACAAGGACAGCGAGCCAGGGGAGCTCCGGGGCCTATTTTAGCTGGTCTTCACTCTTCGCTGGTTTAAGCTAACACTCGACCTCGAGCCCTCCGGCTCACCACCTTTTATAGCACTCGGCCCCCGGGAGGGGCCCGTGGGGGATGCACGTGCGGACGTCGGTGTGAGCACCTCCTCTGTGTACGGCCCTAACCACGCCCCTTGTGTTTGTTACCCATCCGTGTCCATACATCCACACAATTACACCTCTACATATGCATTCAGGGCGGGTTCGCAGCGCTTGCGGAGTGACTCCGTGATCGTGGCACCACAAACCACGTCCTCGGTCAGACTCGTTATAGCTTAACGAAGTTGCCTCTTTTTTCTTCACTAAACACTAAAATAATATCGTACATTACACAATGACATAATAGAACATAATAACCATTCAATCAACGTTATACATCTTTTAATATTAACGATGCTGATGGCAACTAGGTGATGTGGGAAGGGCTGGTTTGAAGGAGGAGCGAATCAGCCCCCCCCTCCATCTTCTTCCAGGCCACAGGTGCAACATGAGTAAGTGAAAAATTATTGTGTCCTGTACAGTATGTCCAAGAAAACAGACGGGCAGCTGATCAACTAAGCCGCGTTCCGGGTGGCAACTGTAGCATGCAGGGGCGGCCTGTCCATATAAGCGAACTCGCCAATCGCCTTGGGTGCCAAGATAAGTGGGACGCCAATTTCAAAGAATAAAATACAAGTAAAAAAATACGAATAAAATTACAAAGATATAATTTCAATTCTCATGCGTATACATAGGGAATATGAATTATGATTCATTTCTCAACGTTTACGATAATTAATTCACGTAAAATATTTTATTTAATGCAAAAATAAATACTGTGAATCGGACTGAAATGTTGTCTAGCTGTCGTGTACAAATCTATTCTTAAAATTTAGTGTCTCTATTTTATCTGATCTCAGAAACATTGGTTAAACAGTTGGACAGATGGACAAACCGAATAATTATGACTTAAAAAAGCTTAAAAGACATTAAATGAGAAATAGGAGTGGTTAAATCTTAACTTAAAGCTTTCGTGACTGCAGGAATTCATATTCTTTGGGTCTATTGGTAAAGTCACGTATATAGGTTCAAAGAAAATAACAACATTTTATTTGAACCTATCTACGTGACTTTACCGAAAGACCCAAAGAATATGAGAAATATGAGTAAATCTTTTACAACTTTATTAAAAACCTCAGCCTGGATCTGGCCTCGGGGTTCGGAACTGGGGGCGCCTCGGGTACTAGTTGCTGGCAGCTCGTCTAAGGTCACCCCTGGTAGCATGGAGAACTGTGGGGGCCGACGTCTGCCCCATAGCCCACAACGTTTGCCCCCTCCACTCCCTCCTCCACCGCGTCGATCGGCCCCTGCCGACCAGGTGATTGCCCCCCCCCCCCCCGTGTTAGTGCCCCCTCTAAGGGACCACTAAATCGCTGGCTCACCGCCGCACAGGGTTATTCCACACACGCACACACACTAACGCTAATGCTACGGCGGCGGCAAGAACGCGTGCGCCCCTGCCAGCTGGTTAAACCCTAATCCGCTTGCACACAAAGGCTATCAATAAAGCGTCTGCATAAATATACGCGCCGGCGGGTGTTGATCCGCTACCCCGCACCCGCGTTAAGACGCGCTCTAAATTGGCAGCGCGAACGCGCGCGCACCTGCAGGCGATTAATTTAACACGCACGCGCGTAAACATGCGCGAGCGTCGGCGAGTGGTTTAAACTTACCCTGCCTCTGCCCTAATACTCGCGCGGCACAGCTGCACGGATGCGCGAGCATTGGCGGCCGTTTATGTTTTAATACACGCGCGCCTCACACACACACAAATTACCAACACTATGCCGAGGTTCCACCCACACACAGAATTCACACTGCACCGATACTCTGTATAGGAAGAGCTTAGCCTAACTCTACGAACCCAGTCACTCAAACGTCCTACCACGTACCTTGAAGCTGTGCTCACGGCGTGGCAGGGACGCTGTGAGTGTCGGAGGGAGAAGGACGAGATAAAACTTTACCTATCACTGCCTCGTAGCAGCACTCGCTGGCATCACACGAATGCTGCGAGCAGCTCGAGGAGACAAGACAAGAGGCTAAAATCGTCCTGGGCTACTTTTTGTATTCTCTAAATCATGCGCTTACCTGCGGCGGCGTCCCTCTTGACCGTCTCTACCGTGGCCTAATCCTAGTCCGCGGTGGTGGGCGCCTGCCACCTATTGCCTCTTGTTGCCCATTTTCTGGAAGGGCGCTTGCGCTTTTCTTGCCTAATATTCCACCCTCCGTCCTCCCGCCAATGTTGTGAGTAATTCATTGCGGTTGGCTCAGGGAACATTTTCTTTCTGCGCCCATACAATTTTAAACCAATTTTAGGGGCATCACAATGTAACCTGTCCTACGAGGGTCGGCCAATCTCCTGGCACCGGGAAACTGTGGGACTTTCCCTCTAGGGGCCCTTTGGATTAAAACCCGATGTGCCAGGCAATCCCCCGCCAGGACACTACGTGGGTGCAAGTGCTACGTGTGTGCGTGTGATCAGGGTGGAGGGTAGTGGACTATCGCGGCGCTTGCGGAGTAGCTCCACGGTCGTGGCACCACAGAACGTCGGCCCCGCGGAATTTATAACAATGACGTCACAAAACACAATTACGTCACGCTGTAATGCAATGACGTAATACCTCTCTCACGTGACTTCCTTAATGCCGTGCATACTCGTGGATACTAAAATGTCCAGGTCGCAGTTGGTAAATTGGTCTACAAATAATAAGCCGTGTATACACCACACCGCAGTTGGCAAATCAGCGGTTGGCGAGGGATTTCTGCATTTATATCGGTTGAAAAAATGTATGAGTTGATGCTGCTGCTGTTGCATTGGCAGTGGTGCGCAAGTAGAAATAACAAACGAAAAAAATCTCAATACGTTCCTTAATAACAACCCTATGTGTATGGTCTTGAAGTAATATATATATAAACTATCAAAATACATTTTTACCAGGTAATGTCCAATGAGCTTTATAGCTTATTTTCAGACGCCACCTGGCCACAAATGATATGTAATAGGGACCATTACCATTCTTCATAGCCCATAAAGATAGAAGCCAGAGATATGAAGTGGATAATAAAAGTTGGAGAATGCACTTCACTACATGGGGCCTAACGAGAATTATACTTTTAAAACATATCTTCTGATGAACCAGTTTAAAAAAATAGGCTTATAAATAGATAACTAATAGTAGCTATTAAGTTCCAGACACACTGTTAAATGACTTTACCGAAAGAACCAAAGAGTATGGATTCCTGCAGTCACGAAAGCTTCAAATCAAGATTAAATAAACTTATTTTGCTTGCCACTAATGAAGCAAAATATCTTAAAGATATTCGCACCATACGTAGCCAACTGTGATAATTGGAGATGCGGGGGAAGGACAAACTAAACACAAAAATGCAGTTCTAAAGTACTGACTCTTCAATCGAGATTATTTCAAAATCCATAGCTTCAGTGGCTTCCTAATATCGGAAAGAAGAGCGTTCCAGACGGCCATAGAAGCGCATTTGAAAGTGCGCGATGCAGTGACCATCTTTGTTGAAAGCCTGCCAAAAGCCCCCTTGTTGATCTGGACGAGATCAACAAGGTAGTGTGGTTCATAGCAAGGTGTTGTGTGGCAGCACTGCCATTTGTTTGCCGTAACGTTTAACAGTAATGCAGCAATTTCAATGCTTACATTTGAAAGGTGAAATGCACGGGTTTGTTTTGCACAGGCCACCAGTGCGTAGTGTCTTCATAACAGTATATTGTGATTCATTGGGTAACTATAGCCTTCTGATTTTGCTTGATTTCTAAAAGAGCTATTTGAGAACACCAGTAAGCGATGACAATTAAATAGCCAATGCACTGCTCGAACAATCCAAGCAGATGATGCACACGCGTTATGTTTTCTGCAAGAGAAACGCCGAGACAGGCTGATGTTCTGCAGGTTTGAACAAAGAAAACGTGCACGTCGTTGCATTGCTTCGATTATTATAACGCGTTATGGAAAACTTGTGTTATAACAAATAATATATAATATAGGGGGTAAATCAGTCCACAATAAGACGTGAGATGCATAACCAGGCCAAACATAGACTGAGGCGCATGGGTAGCATCTAGAAACATGCAGCAGCATCCATATGCGATGCTACGCCGAGCCAGCCATATAGCCGCTTATTTCTACTCGCGCGACTCAGTTCCATTCGCTCAATCGCGTTATATCCAATTTGCATCTGCGTTATAAAAAGTGTTCCTTAATACATTCATCGCGTTATATCCAATTCGCGTTATGAAAACACGCGTTTTAGGGTAACCGACTGTATCTTGCTTCCCTCATTTCGTTGTACACCCCTTCTCGCCCTCTCCACTCACAACCCTAGCTGTCTCTGTCTCTGTTCCCCCTCCTCCTTGTGACCAATCACAATTACATGCTCTCTTGCTTCTGACCTGCCTTACAATGGAAGGAGCTGCCTGTCCCTATGCGTCAAACAATCAGCCAGCAAGACCTTTTTTTCCGAATGCAGCAAGTCCGTGCTTAACGCGGGGGTTGCGTTCCTGAAAATTGCCTCAAGCAAGCGAATTCGCGTTAAGCCAAAGTACATTTTCCAACGAGGAATATTGATGAAGGAGGTGAATGCCGTTACAGACCGTAATTTTACGATTGATTTTATCTGACAGTACACTATATTTTACGTATCTCTTTCTAAATGTGTTGTGTTTATATAGTTTTTTTCCAAAAATACGCTAATCGTCACAGTCGTTCATTTATATTTTAAGCGCGTGAGAGACATATATTATTGGTTCTTTCGGTAAAGTCACGTAGAGAGAAAAAAAACCGTTTTAAAAAAAAAAAATAAAAGCCAAAAAAACCACGACGTTTCGATCGCAACACAAACGGTCTTCATCAGGCGGAGAGCAAAGAGAGGGCAAACCTCCAACTGCAACTGCTTATAAGGGCTTTCAGAGTGAGCAAAGCTGTGCGGCATAAACAGCATGGGCGGGGCAGCCAGCAACAATGTAGGAGCAAAGCACCACAAGAACCAGGAGTCAGAGGTCGCAAACGGGTTTTGATTCCTTACCCGTACCCGGCCGCACCAGGGTCGCAAACGGGTACCCATACCCTACCCGATACCCAGCTACCCGTACCCATTGGCAGGACGATAGTACCAGCAGTGGCTTCACTAGGATTGGTGTCACCCAGTAACTCATGGTGTCACCCCCCATGGATCTCCTTTCGTACCTGACTACACATAATCCTTCGTAATGTTTTTTTTGTACCAATGTTAATTGTAAATCATAATTCCCGTATATCACTGAATGTAATGGCAATAGTAGTGATGTAAACAACTAGCAACATACAAATTACACCTTTAAATTGCAATATCATACGCACAACCTAAATGTATTTACATTTACATAGTTCCATGTGGTTAAATGAAAATTCGGTAAGAAAGCAATATAATTCGAAGTAAAAACGTTAAAGAACTTCATCAAAATTACGTTCATTTTAACATTAAATATTACCGTTACATGAGATATATTAATGGATTAGGTTTGCATGATCAATAATTGCCCAAATAATGTAGAAGTTGTACACAAATGCATATGGAAATATACTCCTAAATGAAATAATGGGGAAGAAGATGAAAACCTGCTCCCGGTCTTCCCTGCTACGTGCGAAAGCACAACAAATATCATCACACCGGCGGCCGAATGTCCGACAAAGGTATTCTGACCTGAAAAACAACAGCACAGAGAGGATTTCACATGATCAGAGCAATGTGAATGTCTGTCAGAGCAACATACGTAAAGAACGACCTGAAGGACACGTTCCAGGTCGTGCCACACACCTCGTCACACTACATCGCCATCAATTACCGCAGCCGAGCCACCCTATCATCCACATAGGCAACTTCAACAGCCACCACACCTTGTGGGGTTATAGCGCCAACGATAGAGCTGGTGAACAACTGATATCATGGGCAGCGGCAGAAGACCAGCACTTGCTCTATGACGCAAAAGACGGCGGTACTTTCAAGTTGGCGAGGTGGAAAAAGTGCTCTACGCCCGATTTATGTTTGTGTCTCGGGACCAGAACGGAAATCCGATGCCGTCGACGAGAACAATCCTAGACGACTTCTAAATATCAAACATAGACCTGTAGTGATCCATATAGATCTTCAAATTCTGCTCTTCCGCTTGCGCTCAAAACCGAGTTGGAATGATACCTCCACGCGCAGTCAACTACCGTCGCTTCGTTGGTCTCATCAAGGCAGTTGCCAAGGCCAACATCGCAAGAGGCTTCAGAAAAGTCTTCACTCCATGTTGGGCTACAGGCAGTGCCTTACCTGTTGGACCAGGTCTACTTCCACCCCCCCCTCCTCCCGTGCCTATTTAGAGCCACAACAGCAGATCATTCTTTCTCACCTGGTGACGGACGCTTGTGTCGCGACCGAAACGTCGTGTTATTTTTATATATTTTTCTACCTACGTGACTTTACCGAAAGAACTAGAGAGTATGGATTCCTGCAGTCACGAGAGCTTCAAATCAAGATTATATTTATGGAATTAAAAAATAAAATACATTAATATTATCCAGTACTCTACATATATGTTATGCATTTATGAGTTACTAATCTTCGTGCGTGTCCTCTGCTGGCCTTCCCGTGTCGTCTGAATCTTTCACAAAACTCCCAAAAACTCCCAAAAAATTCCCATTTAATTTATTATGCCGACCCCGCGATAAATCGAAACTGCAATGGGGAAAGTCGCGATGCAGAAGGATCGACTGTACGTGCATTGCTTGCTGGTTGTACCACAACTGTCGTGTTAGGTCGTGTGGAGATACACGGGAGAGAAGCCGTCTTCCCTGGGCTCCAACACCAAACTGGTGCCCTGGCTACCACAGAACGACTTGCTGGGTACGTCCTGCTTGTGGTGGTGTCATGATTAAGCGGGGAGTGATGGCGCAGTGGTTTGCGCGCTGTGCTGCGAAGCCGGCGGCCCGAGTTCGATTTCCAACATCGGTGACGATTGTTTGAACTGGTCCTGAGCCTCCTCCCCTAGGTCGACTCGGCCTCAAATGAGTACCTGGTGCGGTGTGTAATCATCGACCACTGGGGAGACAACGACAGCCGTGCGTGGTGCTGGCCACCCACCCCATCATGTGCCGTTTCAGCCTTTTTGGGTGCTTGTTAGCAGAACCTGCCCCAACAGTTTGTTAAAGGATATATTGGGGATGTTTGTCATTGGTGTCATGATATTAAAATATGATTCAACTTCCCTAAAACCCTATTATTTCACAGATGCAGTCCTACGTATTGAGTCCAAACCTGGACGTTGTTTGCCCTCCTCTTCCCTTTCGTAATCCTCAAGTACCCTCTTTCTCTATCACTCAATCATTGTACAACATCTGTCAGCTACATCATTCCTTTGTGTCATCGTTTTGTCAGCTATCTATGCCAGGCAACTTGTGTTAAGGTGCTCTATGCATATACAATTAGACTTGATTTTGAAGCTTAAGTATAGCAGTGACAATGGACATTAGCTTTGTCACAATACTCCAATCCCTCCAATGTCCGAAATCCCCCCTTCCTCTGGAGCATCATATATTTTTTGTTTGTTTTATTGCCTTGCAAAAGGTATCTATTTGTCGTCCTAACATCTTAACACTTATTGCCAGAAAGGGTAAAACATATTCCTATATTTATCATGTTTTGTTTATTGCAATTCCCCCGCACCTCCGATTAGCATGGTTGGCTACGTATGGTGCGAAATAAGTTCAACATGCACACGTACATCACATATTTCCCCCTGCAAGCACTCTCCCGCCCCTTCCCTTTCATCTCCATCTACTCTCCTGATCACTCTTCGCTCCAGCAGTCAAAGCTCCTGGTCAATATAAGCTCAACCTCCTCTGCTAGAGCCTGGATCTCCTCTGGCGTCAATCTCCTGTCCCTTTTCAAAGCCAGGCTCAGGATTTCCCTACATGTGACTGATTGACTGCGTCTCTATGTAAAGTAAGTATGATCACTGTTTCTGTACATAATGTTGAGATGTGGTCATAGTTATACGCGATATAAAGCCACAGTGTACTGTGTTAATTTTCCATAATAACGTTATTTTAGTAAGATCGCTCTAATCTAAACGTGTTGTTAAACCCACCACCACCTGATACAGCCAATTAGTAAGGCTTTTCACGTAAACAAAACGTGCCATTTAGTTACTAGTTCAGCACACGCGTGTGTTGGAGAGTAAACCCACAACGTTTACAATTTGAGTAGAACGTTGCATATATGTTGTTGGTTTACTCTCCAACAAACCGATGTGGTGAACCAGTAACTAATTGGCACGTTTCATATACGTGACAAACTTTACTGATGGGCTGTGTTGGGTTTGTGGCAGGTTTAACGACACATTTATGTTCATTCGATCTAACCGAAAAAAAACCTTCATCGTTGATAACATTGGTCGCGAAAGCCCACGTGTTAAACTAACATGAATGACGATTTAAAGCTTTCGTGACTGCAGGGATTCATCTTCTTGGTTCTTTCGGTAAAGTCACGTAGAAGGGAAGTAATAAAATAATAAAAATAAAACATAATAAAACAATTCTCACGACGTTTCGGCTACAACGCAAGCAGCCGTCTTCAGGTGAAGAATGAGACAATGCCAAGCTAGGAGCTTATATATAAGCTGCGTTGGAGGTGGAGGAAAGAGCGCCTTAACAAAAGAATGTGCATGTGAAGAGGAATTTAGCATATTCATGGAAAATGCGTAGGAGGTGGGCGGGGGGGTTTCAAAGTCATATTATGCCCATGCATTATGCAGGATCAACAGCACCAAGGGGGGGGTGCAGGGATTAGCAGTAACAAAGGAAAGGAATGTTAATGATATGTAGCTGCAGTTACTCAACCACCACGTAGAAAACTAAAGTATAAACTACATAAAAAACTAAAGTATAAATAGCATAGCACCATCAGTATACTTACTATACTCTACACTAAGCTGAGTTACTAACAGCAAGTAATACATTACAATTCTACGTCGTAAAAATTATATAATATGCTTCCATCTAAACTTTATTCTATTGCATATATTAAATGTATAAGCTATAGGTTGGTTTACAGCAATACAGTATATAATTTAATGTTGGCAGTATATAGTACGGTATATGCTCGTTGATGCAATAGAATAAAGTTTAGATGGAAGCATATTATATAATTTTTACGACGTAGAATTGTAATGTATTACTTGCTGTTAGTAACTCAGCTTAGTGTAGAGTATAGTAAGTATACTGATGGTGCTATGCTATTTATACTTTAGTTTTTTATGTAGTTTATACTTTAGTTTTCTACGTGGTGGTTGAGTAACTGCAGCTACATATCATTAACATTCCTTTCCTTTGTTACTGCTAATCCCTGCACCCCCCCCTTGGTGCTGTTGATCCTGCATAATGCATGGGCATAATATGACTTTGAAACCCCCCCGCCCACCTCCTACGCATTTTCCATGAATATGCTAAATTCCTCTTCACATGCACATTCTTTTGTTAAGGCGCTCTTTCCTCCACCTCCAACGCAGCTTATATATAAGCTCCTAGCTTGGCATTGTCTCATTCTTCACCTGAAGACGGCTGCTTGCGTTGTAGCCGAAACGTCGTGAGAATTGTTTTATTATGTTTTATTTTTATTATTTTATTACTTCCCTTCTACGTGACTTTACCGAAAGAACCAAGAAGATAACATGAATGACATTTGCACCGTCTCTCCCCTCTTGAGAAGGGGTCTGTTAATCAGGTATTATTGACGCAAGCACTATCTCTTCTGACGTGAATCTGTTCAATTGTGACCGACTTTACAAAGGGGGTTGCTGCAAAAATCTAACATCGAAACAAATCAATTACTTATCATCAGTGTGGTAACGCTAATAGTGAGGCTCCCTTGCTGTGAAAGGCCACCCAAAAACTCGCGCCTTCATCACACACGGCGGGACTAACGGGGTCTACGAGGCCATCTACCACGGCGTCCCGATGCTCGGCTTCCCGCTTTTTGGCGACCAGAAGGACAACCTTTTGAGACTTCACAAGCATGGGGGTGCCATCGTGCTGGACATCAACACGGTCACTGCCCCAGAGATCCGAGACGCACTGGGCTTGGTCATCCATAACAGCAGGTGTGTGTACAAAATACAGGACGTCGTGGGTTCGATGATGACCCTGACGCCTGTTGTATATTTGGAGTTTGCATGTTCTCTCTCCCCATGGTCGCGTGAATTTTTCTCTGGGTCCTCCGTTTTATCCATCAAAATTTAGAATCAATATGCGAACAGAATCTTTGGCTGATATACATTTCAATTTGATAAGGCACTTCGGTCAGCTATCATTTGTGGCCAGGTCGCTTCTGATAAAATAATCTATTTAGCTCAGTGGGCCCTACCTATATGTATAAAATATATGTTTTATGTAAGTTGAACTTTTTTCACACCATATGTAACTCACCGTGCTAATTGGAGTTGGGGGCTAGCCCCGCAACATTGACAGGATGTGCAACGCCATTGCCGATCTACGGAACTAATCCAACCACCGTACTGTAATGCGAGCGTAAACGGCCTCGTGGATATGACGTAACAGGGGGGAGGAGTTGGGTCACGTGGGAAGAAGGGAGAGCTCTTAAGGGCAGGAACCGGAAGGGCCGGGGAGAGAGTGTAAGGATAAAGACAGGAGGAGGCCACGCATGGCAGGAGGTGGAAAGTGGCGTGATCGCCACAGGTCGGGACTCGGCACCGTTGGCCAGCGGTGTCCGGGCACGGGGGAGACGGAGAGCAGTGGTGGTGCTGCAGAGAGAGCAGCCGAGGGGCTGCAGATCGAGGACGGAGAGGCTGAGAGGAAAGCCAGCAGCGGAGCTGCATCGGGAGCCAGCAGCAAAACTGCGGGAGCGACAGCAGCAGAGGGGCTGCCGAGCGGGAGGCGGAGGAGACTCTGAGCGAGGCGCCGTGTGGACAAAGTTGTACGAACCACAATAAAGGACAACGGAGACAGACCCAGTGAAAGAGTCCTTTATTACACTGGTGTCAGAAGTGAAACGGCATGTCAAAACAGCTCAGAAGAAAGAATATCCCCACACCATCATCTGCTACATCTTCCGACGACGACGACCTTCCTCAGGCAGTGGACCTGCCTACAATGGAGGAGGAAATCCCAGCGGGAACGAGTGGTGGGCCGGGAGTGCAAGACGTCGCCGCGTCGGTGGATCCGCCCGCGCTGGAGGACGCTGACCAGCGATGGAGACAGATGGCGGCCCAGCTGGAGACTTTGAATACCTTATTGGCGCAACTGTGCGACCTCGTCATGCCGGCGACGGCGTCGGGGAGGCCCGGGGGTGATCGGCAGACCGCGGCCTTGCCTGCGCCGCCAGCGCCCTCTGCAACGCGGCGCGAGGACGCCATTTTGGGCGTGGCAGGGGAAGAACCGCGGGAAGCCGCCATCTTGCGCCCTCCGTGGTGGGAAGCCGCCATCTTTGACACGTTGCGGTGCGACGCCATCTTAAATATGCCACGCAATGCACCGTCTGCGGAGGACGGCGGAGCGAGGAGCCGCAGCCGTCACTTGACAACAGTTAAAGAATTTTCGATTGGAGGCGATTGGAGTGCATTCGCCTGCAGATTTTTAGCGGTGGTGCGTTCTGCCAGATGGACTGATGCAGAGGCCCTGGAAGTTCTGCCAACTCTTCTCGACGATGAGTCGGTCAGATTTTCCTGTTCCATCAAGGCCGAGAAAAAGAAGACACTGAGAGGGGTTTTGACGAGATGGCGGATGCGTACAAGCCACCGAACGACGCTCACCGACGATTCGTTCAGCGCCAGCGGGCACCCGAAGAGTCGCCACTGGCATACAGGGTGCTGTCTTGGAATTAGCCATGGCCGCATACCCTGAGACGGAGCCTGCCTACTGGAACCCGTGATTTTGGGCAAGATGCTTGAGCTGTCGAGAGATTAGGGGATCCCTATGCCGGTGTGCGGCCATGAGAAGCCGACGTCTCGGGCAGCTGCGAAGTGTTTGGATGCCCAGTTTAATCTGCGCCGTTGGAAGCAGGTGACGGCGTGGACGGGGGGGGGGGGCCATCGTCGAAGGGGGTGCCGTGGGTTGGGATCCCAAGAAGGCGGTGTACGTTCCTGACGGGGGGGCCCGCAGGAATTGACGGCCGCCTCTGTGCAGTGGCCGGCCCGCGGTGGACCGGGGCCGCGATCTGCGCCGCCGATGTGGGAGCGTCGGGATGGGGGGAGTGCGGTGCGTCGTAATGACGTCGAGTGCTTCCGCTGCGGTCGCAAGGGCCATTACACCAGGGACTGCTGGGCCCGTATCCCGGGGCCGCCCCAGCAGGAGGCCTCGACCGCAGACGTGCCGCGGAAGGACCCTCCTGGACAGGCAAGTCGGTGTGCACCAGACACCCGGCAAGGCTTGGCACCTCATTCATCACCGTTGCCGCGCGATCCGGGTGTTGTTAACAACGGGAGGCCACCGACTGGCCCATGTCGCTCGGTAACGCAGTGGCGTAAATTGGCACGGCGGGTTGTCGCGGCCGCTACTGGTTCATCCACTGTGCCGGGATCTATACAGGGGGTTGACGTGCGCATTTTAGTGGATTCCGGTGCGTCCGCGACCATTATATCTGATGTCATTTTCCATCTGTTGGGCATCCCACCGGAGGCTGTGTGCCCGGTTTACGATTCCTGCGTTGCAGCGAATGGGGGAAGTATGGGCATTGTGGGCCAGGTGGACGCCAATATATCCATCGGGGGGGTGTCGGCCTCGGGAATTGTGTTGATCTCGAGGTCCCTTGCGGTTCCGTGTTTGTTGGGAACTGATTTTCTGGCCAAAATGCCCATTCTAATAAGAGTTAATTAAAATTGTATTGAATTACCGGGGGGTCGAAAAAGTACATTTTTGCCGTCGCCCTGGGGGCGACCCGCTCCGGTCTGCCAGGTGCAGGCGCTGTCCGAGGTATCTGTTGACATTCCACCTGGCTCACAGATGCTTATCCCCTTGCGATATCGGAAACCGGTGCCTGGTCAGGAAGGAGAGCCTGGAGTTTTGTTATCGCCGTCCGCAACCATAACGGGCGGATCGGTGCTGGTCGGGGCGCAAACTATTATCCGGCCGGACCAGCAGCCATTTTCGACCGTATCTCTACGGCCGTTTGTTTATTGTGCGCACGGATCATGCGGCTTTACAATATGCTCTGAAGGTAGACCAACCATCTGGCCAGCTGGCACGATGGTGGGACACTCTGCAGGAGTTTTCCTTCCAAATTCAACATCGGAAGGGGGTGCATCACGCGAATGCGGACGCGCTCTCCAGGTTGCCGCAGCGATCCCCTTGCGCTTGACCGTCGGGGACGCATAGGTGTACGCCGATCCAGCAGCCCCTCGGCCTATTGCATTGGTGGTCGAGGTGCCTGAAGCTCCAGTGTGCCCGGGACCAGCCGATGGGATTTTGAACCTTCCACGGGCTGTATGGATTCGTGAACAAATGCTTGACGACTCGTTGGGGACCCTGCGGAGTCGGGCTGCAGAGAGAGGGGGGGCTGGTTTCCGGGGGGACGCCGGGGACCGCTCTCCGCGACGGACTACTGATGTGGAGGGAGGGGTTACAGGATCGCTGGCGTCTTGTTGTACCGGCGTCGTTATGGTACGAATTGATTAGGACTCTGCATTGTGACACCTGGGGGTGCAGAAGACCTTATTGACGTTGCAGCGAGATTACTTTTGGCACGGCATGAAGACGGATGTCGTCGGGCACGTTCGCGCGTGTCCAGAATGTGCCCGGCGGAAGCCGCCTAAACACCCATATGTTCCGCCGATACAGTCTATTCAAGTGTCTCGAGTTAACGAATTGGTGGCGTTGGATATTTTGGGACCCTTCCCGCCATCCGCTAAGGGTAATAAATACTTGCTAGTTGGGGTGGAGTATCTCTCCCGCTGGCCAATGGCCTGGCCCTTGCCCGACCAGTCGGCGGCGTCCATTACGGACGCCTTTCTATTTGGATATGTCATGGACAAGGGGGCACCGGAGAAGCTGCTCACGGATCAGGGCCGGAATTTTTCTTATAAATTGTTGGGGGAGATGTGCGTGGCTCTGGGAACTAAAAAGATCCGGACATCTCCCTACCACCCGCAGACGGATGGCATGGTTGAATGGCTAAATCGGACTCTGTCCGCCATGCTGTGTCACACGGTTAATGAAAAGCAAGCGGACTGGGATTTGCACATCCCTGGGGTACTCTCGGCATACCGGATGACGCCTCACGCGTCCACAGGATATTCTCTGTTTTTTCTCATGTACGGTCGCGAAAACGTGCCGCCAATGGATGTGCAGTTGGGAACAGGAGTGAGAGGACCTATTAAGCCTCTCCCTGATTACATTCAGGACGCCGTTCGCCGCGTCGCTGAGGCGCGGGAGGGGGCCCGCATGGCTATGGCCACAACCCAGGCCCGGAACGAACGGTGCGCTCGACGCTCGAAGGGGAAGTGCCCCTGGAAGGTGGGGGACATGGCTTGGCTGCATTGCCCGCAGGTGCGGGCAGGGACCTTCCCTAAATTACATAAACCATGGCAGGGGCCTGTTAGGCTCATCGAGGTTCCCAACCCGCAGTCCACGCCCGTTCGGTTCGGATCTCGGCGCTGGTACGTCCATACGTCTCGCTTGAAACCATACGTGGCCCCTCGAACGGATGCGTCATCTCCTGATGTTGCCTTGCCGGTGTCTGTTGCTGCCGACGCACCCTTGCCTGTGCCTGTTGACCCTGCAAGAGCGCCTGTCGTGCCTTTTACAAACAAACCGGCCGTGACACTGCAGGAGACAGGGGACTTTGCTCTGGGTGGGCCTACCACGGCTGTGGGGACACCTGGCCTCGCCGCCCCTCCAACCCCACCACAGACACGGTTGCGGGACGCTCCGGACTCTGGTCCTTCGGGGAAACGGGACCTTGGCGTTGGCGGGCCTCCAATAGCGACAGGCGGTTTTGATCCTGTCGCTCCTAAAACCCCGTCACGTTCTCGGTCTGCAGGGGGCCGCCGCTTTTCCGGGACGTGCCGGTGACCCGCACGCGGTCGAAGTCCCTTTCTTTTCGTTGATTAATGTTGTTCTCGTTCTTGTTGTTATTGTTATATTCGTTGCATTCTCCATTGTCCGTTCATGGCGGATGGTTGGTGGTCGCTCGCATTACTTGGTTGTTTCAGCCGAGGACGGCTGGAATTTTCTCCACGGGGGAGGGTGGTGTAATGCGAGCGTAAACGGCCTCGCGGATATGACGTAACAGGGGGGAGGAGTTGGGTCACGTGGAGAGAAGGGAGAGCTCTTAAGGGCAGGAACCGGAAGGACCGGGGAAAGAGTGTAAGGATAAAGACAGGAGGAGGCCACGCAGGGCAGGAGGTGGAAAGTGGCGTGATCGGCACAGGTCGGGACTCGGCACCATTGGCCAGCGGTGTCCGGGCACGGGGGAGACAGAGAGCAGCGGTGGGGCTGCAGAAAGAGCAGCCGAGGGGCAGCAGATCGAAGGCGGAGAGGCTGAGAGGAAAGCCAGCAGCGGAGCTGCATCGGGAGCCAGCAGCAAGACTGCGGGAGCGATGGCAGCAGAGGGGCTGCCGAGCGGGAGGCGGAGGAGACTCTGAGCGAGGCGCCGTGCGGGCAAAGTTGTACGAACCACAATAAAGGACAACGGAGACAGACCCAGTGAAAGAGTCCTTTATTACAGTACTTTAAACCGTGCTGGTTTTCCAATAATTACAATAATGCCATTTGTGATGGTCTGGAGAAGCCTTTATCCAGTTTTTGCCATGCTGAAAATAACGTAACAATTAGGCACCTTCATGCATTTACTTCGGAGGCGTTTTAATGGAGCATTAAAACGTGCAGCAACCAGATTGTTGCACTTTCTAATTCTCTGGTAAAACGTGCATCAATCTGGTTTCCTGAAACAGTTATTATATTAACGTAAGGGAATATCTACATTTTACGCGTTGAGATGTATGGATTCATTTCAAGAGATACCACTACAAAATTACTCTAGATACAAAATATTAAGCTGTTATATCACAACGGCGGTTGTTTCAAATAAAATCTTGCATGGTTCATCAGTTATACTAATATGCATTGTTTCCAGTGTACTGAATGCAGCTTACCTCAGCAATGCCCACTCACCCTGGCGGTCGTGGCCTAAGCTCGGCCACCTTGATAAACAGAACGTACATCCACAGTGTTAGCTTTAACCCATATCTATCCTTAATCGATAGTTCACATTTAAACGATTATCATTTACGAGGGACGTAGTTTTCTCAATCGTGCACTTGCTTATACAAACAAGTTTGGCAAGTCCTCACACTACAACACATTTTTTCTAGAGCGCAGTTCTTCCATTCGGGAACACTTTTCTCACAACGTGGAACGTGCCCTAGTACAACGCGGAATGCACCCAGTTATAACGCGAACACGCCGTAATAACGTGGGACGTGCTAGTTATAACGTGTAAGATGCATATTGCAACACGGAAAAAGTACATACTATCTCGCCAAAACTTATCGTTACATTATTCACGGGGAAATTGTTTTCTTGCCCGTTTTTCGCTGAACGAGGCACTTTTCAGGAACGCGTGAAAGACCATGTTTACACGTACATTATATGAAGCTTTCCAGTGTGAGTATAGCATGCTATTTCGTTTTCAACAATATTGGTAGGGCTCGTGCCAAGCGTGCAAGAAACAAAACATGCAACAGGCCTTAGATAGACGCTTTTCCAAGGGAGGGTGCGCTTCGAGACAGTAGAACTGTGATTATGAGACATCTGTTTATAGAATCAGACTATTTACGTATGCTGGAGGAATCCGATGAGCTATGAAGCTCTTTTTCACAGATGGCCAGTCAGGGTGGATACGAACGTAAGGACAACTAACACAACAAAAGTGAAAAATATAGGGGGGGGGGGGGGGAAGCTAATAACAAAAAAGCATACACATGAAACTAAACTATTTTATATTCTTAGGTTTTTTCGGTAAAGTCACGTAGGTAAAAATTAAAATTAATAAAAGTAAAATAAAATAAAAATAAAAATCACGACGTTTCGATTGCAACACAAGCAATCATCATCAGACATAAATGAAATAGCAACAAAAAATTCTAACCAGAAAAACTATAGACAGACATATAAGCAGACAGATATCACCAAGATACATAGAGAGAGAGTGACACAGGTACAGAGAGGGAGATCGTCTCTGTGGGGTGGCCTTAAATAGGCAGAGGGGGCGGTGGCAGAGAGATGGAGGGGTTAGATAAAAAATATACATGTCAATGAGTGCGGAAAACGCGTAGTAAAGTAAGCAAGTTTGAACATTAGGAGAGAGGGATAAAGAACACACTAAATTAAATAACCTAGCAAAATATCGAAATGTTATGTAATACAACACAGATAGTCGGTCAACACACAATTAACGCATAGCCTGGTCGATTACGTATTTCAAAGATTGCTAAGTTAGAATTTAAGTGTGAAAATTCCAAAGAAAGACAAAACATAAAACAAAAGGAACGGAGACACACAGACAGAGCAGAACATAAGAACGACAAAAAACGAGTGTAGACAGAAAGAGAACACTAAATACACAGGCAGAGAGAGAAAACAAAAACCCAGAGAGAGAGAAAAAGATAAACTTGGAACTTCTCCGTAGAAGTGGTTCAATTCTAGATTTGAAGCTTTCGTGACTGCAAGGATTCTACGTGACTTTACCGAAAAAACCTAAGAATATGAATCCTTGCAGTCACGAAAGCTTCAAATCAAGAATTAAACTATTTTATTTCATCATGTAAAGCCCACTCAACTATTAGATATTTTTTTCAGAAGTGACCTGGCAACAAATGATGCCTCTCCAAAGTGGCTTATCATGTGGAAATGTATAGCAGCCACATAATCTAAAGGCGTGACCACAGAGAGAGAGACACGTAAACTCCAAATATACAACAGGCGTCAGGGTCGGGATTGAATCCCCGACCTCCTGCATACCAGGCGAGGTAGTTAACATCTCGCCACTGGCTTGGGGATCCAAGTGTTAGGTAACCCATTTGATTTATTTTGCCAGTTCAAAAAAAAACCTTTACGGTATAACTTTGGCGCTGCTATGTCTGCTACGCAGGCAACATGGGCCGGCATTAAGTGTTGCCAGATTCCCTTGTCCATACCAGTTACGCCTGATATGGGTAAACATGGAAACTAGCACGTGTTGTGAACGCATACAGATGGAGATTCTGTTCTAGGCTCACTCTCGCATCGCCCCGTGATACTCATCACTGACGCTTCGGCGTCTGGGAAAACACCGGTAGCACTGCATTAATGCATGTTGAACTTATTTCGCACCGTACGTTGCCAACCATGCCACATTGGTAACCGCAATGGCTGGCCATTCCTTTGACGTGACGTCCACAGCTACCAAGAGAGCATTGAGCGCCTCTCCCGCCTCCACCACGACCAGCCCGAGCGACCGATGGACCGCGCGGTTCACGCGCTGGAGTTCGTGATGCGTCACGGCCACGCGCGCCACCTGCGGCCCGCGGCGCATCGACTGGCCTGGTATCAGCTGCACTGCCTGGACGTGGTGGCCTTCCTGAGCGCTGCTGCAGGGCTCGCCGTCGCACTGCCCGTCCTCCTCTGCCGCCTGTGCTGCCACCACAGGAGGGCGACCAAAGTGGCAGCCAAGAAGAGCAAGAAGGAGTGACCGGAGTGTGGACACGGTTTCGCATCTTCGAATCAAACAATAGTTGATGGTTTGATGCTCACGTAACACAGTGAGAATCACAACACCATTGTTATTTTCTCTAACCCATGAGGTGAATATGCTCGTGATTCTAATGAACAAAATTTAGCAGGAGATATATGTTGTGATCGTATCTCTTTGTCACGTTGGAGTGTGTTACCAAACCCTCTTTGTTCGAACACAGACAGCCGGAACGACAGAGCTAAGAGTTAGCAGGGGACCATGTTTACTTCCGTTTTTACAATTACATTGTATGAATCAATCGCACATGTTTCAGAAGAATGCTTATTATTCTCACCCTTCACATCTCAAACTCTTTAAACATAAGGCTACGTAAAGCCCAGACCTGCATGGTGAGCAAAAACCAGTCCACAATAGAGCATATAAGACCAAACTGTTGAACTTTTTATTTTTGTGAATTATGCGCATGCATAAAATAGCTTCTGATGTTCATACAAGTCAGTTCATCAGCCTTGGACCACGTTTATTCACAGAACACGACGCCACGTATGTTTCTTGAATTAATATGTTTTTGTTATAACACAGCGTTGAGCACTTGTGGTGTATGTGTTCATTGCCAAACACGTTTGAGCACTTCTACAGATCTATGAGATTTGGCGCAGTGCAGGCTACTATCTCAGTTGGAAGGCTGCGGTGGAAAAGTAGTTAGGAGGTGTTAACTCCCTCGCCTAGTATACGGGAGGTCGTGGGGTTCGATCCCGACCCTGACGCCTGTGTATTTGGAGTTTGCATGTCTCTCTGTGGTTGCGTGGATTTTACTCAGGGTCCTCCGGTTTTTCCTTCCACGTTTAGAATCAACATCACACGCTTAGAATAATTTGGCTGCTATACATTTACACACGATGATAAGCCACTTTCGTTGAGCCATCATTTGTGATAGCCAGGTTGCTTCTGAAAAAGAGCGCGATAGCTCAGTGGGCCTTACCTAGCAATATAACACGAAATATTGCGTAATAGTTTAGTAAAAAAAAATGTTGAAAAAGTTACATGGCCTTGGAATGTTCAAAAATGTGCACATCATAGGTACTTTTATCTATTTCAGCGCTCACATCTGATGCCTGGGTCATTTTCTCCCCTATTCTTACATTTGTGTGTCGCGCTTCATTCATTACACTCACAATTAACATTTTTGTACATATCAGTTATCCAAATGGTTCACAGCATTGTTAAGTCACTAAATAAATAGGCAGGCAATATGTCACCTTCACTTGTCTTGCCTACCAACCAAAAAATAAAAACGATTTTTGCATCTCATTATCCACACCGTCTTCTGCAACACACAACCGGCGTGTTGAAGTAGTAGTTAATTTGCACATTTCTTCTACGTGACAAACCCTTACTCATTGGCTGTGTCGGGTGTTGGTGGGTTAACGACACATTTACATTCACTCGACCTTACCCCCTCCCAAAAAACGTTACTTTGAATATACTTTCACATACCCACACATACACATGTCATGCATTCATGGCTACGAGTGTTCATTAACACCTCCACTCACTCCCTCCTGCTGCTGGATATACTGGACGTTGTTTTTTTTTGGGCATGAAGCAATCAATCAAACCAATAGGCCTCGGGATTCTTATGGCCGCCCGTTTGATCACATCAATTTAACAACTAAAAGCCAACCACGCGATTAATTTTATTACACATGGGATATTTGATCCGATGAATTACCCCGAGAGCACGGGGATGTATTGAAGTAACAAACAAAAACAGCTGTCTCCAACTGAACATTTTTCCTTAGTAGGCGTACAGTGCAGAAAATCGAAAATCTTACACAAGAACGGGTCCAGGTGCGGCCTGGGGTCGGCAACCAAAATAACAAGAGAGCCATATTTCAGAATTCGTATACCTGTCAACCGTTTATCAGTGCCTACCTTAGGGGCCGTCCATAAATGACGTCACGTACCTAGGGGGGGGGGGGGTGTCAGACATTTGTGACGATGTGTGACGAGGGGGGGGGGAGTTTGAAAAATGTAACGTCACATTCAAATTCGCAACTTTAAATAAATATTGAATTATTATAACAACACTAATTGTTATAACAACACTCCTACAACATCAGAGTGCAGCGCCACATTCAATAGGCACTACAATGACAATAGTTTAAAGCGATTTGAAGCATGTTTTATTTTCAAAATGGAATTATGATTTTTGGGTGGAGGGGGGGGGGCAGAGGTTTGTGACGTCATATTTGAGGGGGGGTCTGACTTTTAGTGACGCCAAGTGACGAGTGAGGGGGGGGGAGTCAAAATCGTCCAAAATCGCCTGACATCATTTATGGACGGTCTCTTATTATATACCAATTCAGACCCGATTGGTCACCCCGTGCCCTTATTAATCTCAACGTTCATCCTACAAAGTCCCATCACAAGTGCAGTGGTGATAACTTTTCGCTGTTCGCAAGCTGTGAGAAAGCGGATTGTAAACAGGGTTTTCTCGCTCGTTCAAACGGTCAGGGTCAAATCGGGTAAGGTGGGATCCAAACGCCAGAATGGGAAGGACCAATCGGCGGGTTCCACAAGGTGGCCGGTGATTGAACAACCCGGCCACGAACTGGTATAAAAGCCAGAGCGCTGAGAGCTCTTGGCCAGTTCTGCTACACAAAGACCGAAGTCGGCCGAAGACATCTAGGACCCTGGACCAAGCCCTCCAGCCCTTATCAGGGCTAGGGCTCAGTGTAACCAGTGGTCATGGAGAGATCCCCTAGGTCCAGCCAGAGGACGCTGGGATAGCAGATAGCAGGGAGATCAGAATACGGGAAGACCGTATGGGTTGACAGGTATGAATTCGGTATGTAAACTAAATATTACCTGGTTACACCAGCCCACAGAGGATTATTGTGTCCGTCCGTCCGTCGTGCATTCAAAAATGGGAGGGGTGGGGCTGGGTGGAGAGGGGAGGGTTGGGAGCGGCTGGGTGGGGAGGGTGGGGCTGGGTGAGGGGTTGGAGGGGTGGGGCTGGGTGGGGAGGGGTTGGTCACCCCGTGGTGCCCTTATAAAACTCAACGTTTAGCTTACTCACGCCGGCTTGTGCCCGCCCTCACAGTCGGCCATATTTGCGGGATACACCACGCCGCCGTTGACCCTGGCCATTGACCGAGCAACCCAACGTTCCTACCAGCTCCCTCCGCAGGAATGTGTTTCAAGAGCTGCAATGCATAGTGAATTACGTCACGAAGCAGCAATTTAAAGAGCTGCATGCGGCTTCGGAGCCGCAAGTTGCCGACCCCTCATTTAGACCATAAACTATTTATTGTAAAAAAATAAAAATAAAACTCCCCGCAGAAAAACTGAACTCTTGCAGGTTAACACCCAATTAAAACGAAACAAGGATGAAAATCTCAATTAGGTATGATATTTAATTTGAGGCTACCTCAAACATCCTCATGACAACATCTGGAAAAGAGATTAAGAATCCAGGAAAGTTAAAATCAAGAAGTCACCTGAAATGGCTTCCTGAAAGAGATGACACGACCTCACAAGAACAATCAATTAAATTTAAAGTCGGTATTAACCATGACCATGAATTGATTATCATGTTATTATGATGCATGTTTGCCAATGGTTAAGATTATGTGCTTGATCCGTTATAGCTGCTCATGAATATGCTAGCTTGTAGCAAAATGGACATATTATTTTAAAAAGTGCTGAAAGTCTGATAGTATCCATGAAAGAAATAAACTAAACCTTTTAATATACTTTCAAACCGCACTTCATGTATAGCTATCAGCTGAAATAAAGATCGTTTTTCTTATTCTTTGGTTCTTTCGGTAAAGTCACATAGATCAAAAAAAAATATTTTAAATCAGATAAAAAATATTAAAGCAAAAAACCCACGACATTTAGTCGTGAGGTTTCGTCGTGGGTTTTTGTCTTTGTTTTATTGGCTTTCCAAATTCCCCTCTGCAATATAATTTCGTTTTGCATAATACTTCCATGTTCTGAAATGGACAGATACGTTGGTCTGAATATTTAATGCATCTCTGATGCTGTGCGCCGACTGGCAGCCGTGAGGACTAATCACGAGTGGCAAAACAGCACACAGCCTAAGCATATGGGAGTGAGCACAAGAGATGGAAGAACTAGGCCAAGGGTCAAAGAGGAGGGGGTCTATCAGGATGCTCCCAGAACCCGCGAGAGACTTCGCGAAGAGAAGCGTGGCCAGGGGCGGGTCATGGCCGCGCGAGGGGGGATATAAGGGAGAGGGAACGGAGTTTTGGGCGCGCGGGGAGTTCGGGGTCATCATCGTCGTCGCTGCTGTCTCTTCGTCGTCGTCGTTGCTATGTGGCTGTCTCACTATATAGTTAAACATTATCGTCACTATATAGTCAACCAGCTGTATAGTCAGACATCGCCGTTGTCGCTGTATAGTCAACCAATTATATAGTCAGTCAGAGATACGAGTTAGTGACTGTGTCATTAAAGTCGTAACTGTATGCCGACGAGAAATAAATGAGAATCCCTCTACAGTATGTGTCTGAAGTCGCTACGTTACACTAAGCGGTGGTGACCTCTTTCGCACCGTACGTAGTCAACCGTGCTAATCGTAGGCTCGCTGACAGGAGGTCACGGGACCCATGGCACCTGGGTTTGTCACGGAGCAGAGCCAGGTGCCATGGGTTGACTGACTGAGATGAAAACAACCACCTCATCTAATATACATCCCTCAGATGCCAAATCAGGTTGTCTACATATAATCGGTGTTAACATGTTATTTTATTTACGGTGACAATTTATAATTTCTTGTTCGCAAATAAACTTAGCAATACGATTGGCCATACTGCTCACAAAGGCTCATTTAAATGTTTTAACGGTTACAGTCTCTTTGTAATGTGGGCTATTTTATTTTTTGCTGTGCCTTAAGGTTATTTACATATCATATGTTCTATACCCGTTACACTGGACATGCTGTGATTAACCTATTCAGTGCTCAGCAATTTATCACAGTATTGGCCAGGTGAATGAGCCTCTGGATGAGGGAGAATATTTGTATCAGATTGTGGTCTGATTTATACTTTACATAGGAATCAGTATGTTGTACAAAAATAAAGCTCCATTTTTTTTCCATATGTATTATGTCCTAGCAGATCATCCAGGAAGCGGGGGTTGTTTACCCTCATAGACTTCCGTGTTTTTTTAAATAAAGGTGATTAAAATTGATTTCAGGTTATACCTCCCATGTAGCCAAGAAACAAATGTGATGTCCAAACATTTGAAACAATGAGATGGTCAAAATGTACTTGTAGTAAGTGCTCGCGTCTCATCTGGTGTCGTGCGTGCCAGGGACATTTTCAAGAACTTAAATGCCATTTGAACCCAAGGCAGAATCTTGGCACATTCTGATCTTAATTGTCGAATGTACAGTCTGTTCTCCTACAACGCATAGTTTTCATAACACGAACTGGATATAACGCGACGAATGTATTATGGAACACATTTTTGTTTATAACGCGGATGTGAATTGGATATAACACGATCGAGTGAACGTAACTACTTCACATGAGTTGGAATAAGCGGTTGTGCGGCTGCCTTGGCGTAGCATCACTCAAGTTGGAATGCTGCTGGATGCTTCTAGATGCTACCCACGTGCCCCAGTCTTTGTTTGGCCTGCTTCCGCATCTCACGTGCTATCATGTACAGTGCGTAATCTTATATTATATACTAGCTTCTTTGCCCGTCCTAGGACGGGCAAAGCCACCGAAGGTGACTGGATGGCCTTCAAGCACCGATTCCAGACAAACTGCGACTTGGTGGGGTGGACAGAGTTGGAGGCGCTGAGAGCGCTGCCCGCTGCGCTTGACAACGACACTTTAGCGGCGTTTTTCACCATCCCGCCGTTGGAGAGGGCTACAAGAGGCCTTTGCTCAAATGGCGTCAATCTACGAACTGCCATCAAATGTTCGCCATAAGTTCACTGCACGGAGGAGAGGGGAGCTAGCAAAGGCTGCCTTCCTGAAGATGAACCACGACGGAGTCAACATCGCTGGTCCTCGGGAGATTGTTGATGTTGGCAAAGGACCTCAACATTGTCCTGCTGGCCGTCGACAAAGACAACTTGTCTTCTCTCAAGGTTGCAAGATGCATCCATGCGCACCTGCTCTTGCAACGACATAAGGGGTTGGTGGCGTGTACCGCGCCCCGTGAGGCACGTGATACACCCGAAGATGTGGAGCCCGTCCAAGCCTGCGCTTCAATCCAAGGCGGAGGCTGGCGGGGGTACGGCATAGTGCAAGGGGGATGAACAAT